AATTACGTTAGATCATATAAGTTTATTAATTATAATCCGTAAGTGTATTGATCCGCATCTAGAGAAATGGCTAGCAACAGATTTTCAGTACTAAAAAAGGCTTAATCCATACGATACCTACCACCATTACATCGACTTTTGGCGCCATTAACGAGGCTCACGTCTCAAACGAAAGATCTCATCGATTTCTACCCAAATCTTTAATGAAAATTGAGGTACCATCTCAGGATCTTGAGACTTCTAAAAAACTCGGTTTTCCAGAAAACCTGTCTGCTTTCAAAATGGTTCTGGGAGTTTTTCGGTCACACCATTTGATGGCAGGTTCAATTCTCTACAAAATGAGATACTAACCAAGTTTCCACAATGGTCTATTCGGACGAGTTCCACTTATTCAAACGTCGAATCGGTAGTAACCTATTATTTAAAGGATTTTTATCAACAACTACTTCGCGAACGATCCCATTAATATATGGTAAAAAAGAATTAGATCAAAAATATAGTTCAAATGAATCTATATTATTCGTATTCTAACCAGTAGCAGATGGACCATATTGTACTATCCTGTGCAGGCCACTAACCATTATCTACTGATTGAAAAATTAATTTATTCAATATATTTCGATCTAAGTATACGGTATGTGCAATCTTCTGTTTAGCCAGTGTCTTATAACGTCTAGCACGGTCATAAGACAGTGGTTAACAGCAGACTGCACGTACCTTATACTGAGTCGAAATATATTGAATACATTAATTTTTGGTTAATGCTATTTGTTATAACTAGCCAAAGTTTAAAATGAAACTTAAGCCTTTAACTGTAGCACCATAGTGTATCCTTGCTTGTGATTACCCAAATTTTTCAATCAGTAGATAATAGTTAGTGGCTTGCACAGGATAGTACAACAAGGTAACGCGCGGCTGAGGTCTGAAACAAAATTCCAAAATTATATCTCTGCACTATGATCTTAAGTAGCTATGATAAATTTTTAACTTGATCGGACGAAATTTAAGGGAAATAGTAATGTGTTCCAACGAAGCCCGGTAGCACAAAAAACGTTTTCGAGGAAAACGCATTTTGTACATAGGCCACTTTTTTTAGGGCACTTGCCGAGATGCTTATATAACTACGGAAACTCAATAAAAAATTGGGAGACGTCTCATTGTGAAGAAAACACTTTCTTCTATCAGACTATGCATAAGAAAAATTTATAATTTATAAGAGAAACGTTTATGAAACGCATGCAATTCGTGTGCAGAAAGATCTATTTCCTTAAGGAAAAAGGTGAACACAAATTGCATACGTCTCAACGAAGAAATCGATCTTTCTGCACAAGAACATCAGATTTTTTCCTGAATAAATCGAAGTTTCTGCACAAGACCTTCACGTTTTCTACTGGAGAAATACATCTTTCTGCACAACAACTTCAGGCTTTCTCCTAAATAAATCGATCTTTTTGCATAATAACTTCACGTTTTCTCTCGGAAGAAAAAAAATAAGTTTCATAACCTTTTCTCTTATAAATGCAATTCGCAAAGAGACGTATGTAATTCGTGTGCAGAAGGATCTATTTCCTTAGGGAAAACGTGAAGTACTTGTGCAGCAAGACCGATTTCTTCATGAAGAAACATCAAGTTCTTGTGAGGAAACATCGATTTGTTCGAGAAACAGATTTAAGTTCTGGTGGAGAAATATCGATTTCTTCAGGCAAAATGATGAAGTTCTTGTGTAGAGAACACGGTTTCCTCAGAGAAAAACATCCAGTTTTCTCTTCTGCAGAAACAGCGATTTCTTCACGAAAAAACATCAAGTTCTTGTGGAGAATGAACTCATTGAACTCATATAAAACTCATTTATTTCTTCCGGGAGAAAACGTGAAGTTATTATGGAGAAAGATCGATTTATTCAGGAGAAAGCCTGAAGTTGTTGTGCAGAAAGATGTATTTCTTCAGTAGAAAACGTGAAGGTCTTGTGCAGAAACTTCGATTTATTCAGGAAAAAACATCAAATTATCGTGAAGAAAGATCGATTTCTTAAGCGAGAGGCATGAAGTTCTTTTGCAGAAGGATCTGTTTCTTCAGGAGAAAGCCTGAAGTTCTTGTGCAGAAACAGCGATTTCGTCAGTAGCAAACATCCAGTACTCGTGGAGAAACGTCGATTTTGTTCAGAAAAAAGCGTCCAATTCTTCTTTAGAAACACCGATTTCTTCAGGAAAAAACATGAAGTTCTTGTGGAGAAAAATCGATTTCTTCATTAAAGAATATATACCCCTGGAAAGCAAAAGCTGGATTCAGTATTTGAGCTCTTTTGATACCATAAAAGGATATTTTGAGAAAGTGAATATACCATTAGATAGCGCGTGAAATTTTGTACAAAAGTGTGTATTTCGATTTTATCTTGCCTTCATATATTGAAAAATAAGTCAAGTGAAATGAAGGTGTCCTCAAGATCAGATTCCCACGCACCTGTATTTTTCACCGTTTTTCCAATTAATACTTCAGATAGATTATGTCTTAAGCAGTGGTCTCTTGAAAAAGTAAGTAGATATTCTGATAGCCCTGAAAATCCTCTATAACCCTGTATATTAACTTATTTTCTAACATCTATCAATTAAAAAAAAATTCGAGTGCTCAGTGAACGTATTGTAGTTGACAAAAACCAAAAATCTATTTTTTCTCCTTTTTTCGAAATGCAGCACTATAGTAATAAGTTTTTAAGAAAGAAAATTATAGATTCTGACAGTGCTTGAAATTCTTTATCAACCTATATACTTTGGTCTTTCCTTGCTTTTATGTGCGGAAGAATAATCCAAGTATAAAGTGATTAACCTCTTTGAGAAACCAAAAAAAATCGGTTGTTTTAGCAAGGCTTTTGTTTATTTCAACGTTATTATTAGTGCAAAGATGAATTGTAATTATAGATTCTGATAGAGCTTCAAATTCTCTATGAATCTATATACTTCTAAGAGCAAACAAGCGAGAGGATTAGTGATGGTGAAAAATATAGGCGTTTGGGAATCTCATCTTGAGGGCATCTTCATTTCACTCAATTTATTTTTCAATACATGAAGTCAAGATAAAACCGAAATACACACTTTTGTACAGAATTTCACGCGCTATCTAATGGTATGTTCACTTTTCTCAAAACATCCTTTTATGGTATCAAAAGAGCTCAAATACTGAATCCAGCTTTTGCTTTCCAGGGGTATATAGTTCTTGTGGAGAAACGTCGATTTATTCAGGAGGAAACCTGAAGTTCTGGTGCAGAAAGATCTACTTTTTCAGGAGAAAACGTTAAGTTATGCTCTAGAAATATGTATTTCTTCAGCAGAAAACGTGAAGGTCTTGTGCAGAAACATCCAGTTCTTGTGAAGAAACATCGATTTCTTGCGGGAAGGAGCAGTCACCGATGTAGACGTTGGTTCAGTGCCCTACGAAAGGTTTAGGCGTAAATGTGACAAAAAGAAATCATTAATTTATGCGCCTTTACAAGTTGTTAATCAGGCATGAACTGCGTTAAATGGAACTTCTCAACAGGCATCACTTAGCACCCAAAGTTGCCGTCGGAATTCGGCGATGAAAACTGGTTTATTTATGCGACCTAGCTGGTTGCTTTTCATCACATGTTTGAGCGCTACTATAATAGTGCCTTTATAAAGGCACTTGTTATATGAAATGATAGTGAGAATTCCATAGAGAAAATTCTTTTCTTTGTTTTCACAGGACACAGGACACATGTGACAGATTTATCCCAAGATCAGTTTATTGAAATATTGAGACGATCGAAATATAAAAGGAATTTTACCGACGAAGAGATTGAACATTGAATAATAATCCAAAAGTATTTGAACGATAGAGTTGATGATTTACGTTATATCACCGAAAGTCAAGGCGCAATGATCAAAACGAGTCGACAGCTCATCGATTGATTACCAATTTCGCACATCAACAACAAGCATCTACGTCAGTGATTGAGACTTTGGCAATTGATATTTTCTTCTTTGAATAATATTGATTCATTACTGACAACAGATCTTTGCCTTTAGATAATGCATGTAATGGAGGTTCTTGATCAAGATTATTGGTACCAACAATAAACCTGACCGAATCAACCGATTTTAGCAAATGATGATACTGACCATTGTTAATTGCTCTTGTTGCATCATTAATAGTTTTGTTCATGAGTGTACGAACATGTGTGACTGATGGCGATGATGAGAAATCTGACGAATGTAAATCACTACATAAACTATCTAAGATGAGCAAATGTTGAACTCGACGTTTAATCGGTTTATTGTTTGAATTTGCGGTTGCGGTTGTTGTCGATTGTTTTTCTGTGGATGATAACTGTTTTGTTGGGGTTGGTACAATCGATGTCGTTCTTTGACTTTGACTAGAGGATGTATTCAATGGTGGTACTGAAGGTGGTTGTGATTGTTGAACTGGTTGAGATGAGAATATTGGTAACAAAGATTGATTCGGCCAGCTGTTGATCAAATTTCATAGGTAATTTATCGATCGTTGTTACAAGTTTCTCAATCACTGATGTAGATGTTTGTTGTTGATGTACGAAATTGGTAATCAATCGATGAGCTGTCGATTCCTTTTGATCATTGCACTTTGACTTTCGGTGATATAACGTAAATCATCAACTCTATCGTTCAAAGACTTTTGGATTATTATTCAAATGTTCAATCTCTTCGTCGGTTAAATTCATTTTACATTTCGATCGTCTCAATATTTCAATAAACTGATCTTGGGATAAATCGCTGAGCAGCACTTTAGCTGGATCTTGTAGGCTCTTTATATACTCATTCGTAATTTTACTGAATGAATCATTCATTGCGTGTTCAGTGCAATTATGATTGAAAACATTCTATCGACAGTAACAGCAGACGATCTTTATGATTTTTTCGTCGATACACCTTTAGCTAGGAGTTGACAGAATCCGATTATTAAATTATGCCTCTACTTTTTATAGAAATGAGGATTTCTGAGAAACTTTCCACGAATTTTTCGCATTTTAAAGTTCCATTAAGTACCGGAAATTAGTAAATGAAAAATTCAAAAATCGGGCTCTGTCAACTCCTAGGCAAAGGTGTTTACTGCAAAAAAACAGCATCTCCATCATCTATCTGGAATGAGAATTTGGTAGACGCCAACTTCTGGCCCTTGCTGTGGCGCCTTAAAATGTTTCCTTCCATTAACGTACCATCAACAAAAACAAAATAAAACAACACACCAAGCACACGTTTCTGCAACGTTACCAAAAGGAGCACAACCATCACCGCCAGCAATTACTGCACAAGCACTATGTACGGATTTCTAATTATTCTACAATCTCAAGAAATGCTAGTTCGAGATGCTACTTAGTTCATTGAATTAAATCAACAGTACTTAGTAAAAATGGATATTCGTTTAAGTTTTGATTCATTAAAAGAAACAATACAAGAAATGGCATAAAAGAACGTAAAAAAAAACATAAAAACAAAAACGTAAAAGAACATAAGAAC